GCTATTTCCAAGTCTTATTTGCAAGTATTTGAAGTATTATAAAATATTATCTTTTCATTTATGTAATAGTGTTAGAACAGAAATTCAATACCCCCATAAATAACAAAGCTGCACGAATATTAGTGTACCCAAACAAATAAAAATATTACAAATTATAGTATTTTTTATGTCCCTTGCTGTGCCTTATTTTCAAACTGCAATGGTTCACACCAAAGACTGAAGTGCCACTGATAAAAGTATAGGACTGGGAATGTATCTCAGGGGGGCTCTGAGTTCAGTCCATGCAAAGATCCAAGTATGCTACAGTAGTAGATGTAATACAAGAATCCTCTCGTCAAATTAGTATCTTCCAAATTTGTTCCCAAAGATGATTCTTAAATCCAGTTTATAATACTTCAAATGGGTGACACCTAATTTTAAATTTAAAAATGTGAATTGGATGGTGGTGGTGCATGTCTGTAATCCCAGTACTCGGGAGGCAGAGGCAGGCGGATCTCTGTGAGTTCGAGGCCAGCCTGGTCTCCAGAGCAACTTTTAGGACAGCCGGGCTACACAGAGGAATCCTGTCTTGAAAAACCAAAAAATAAGTAAACAAATAAAAAATATGAAGTGTACCTTTACAGACAATGTCTACAAAGAAGGACAATTCATGGTTAATATCAGCATCATCAATTAAAGAGGTGAGCCAGTGAAGTAAAATTGTCATGTGAGAGTCTCTCGTTTCACCACCATGGCCATCACGGCAAGCATCCATCTGGAAAGCAAGTAAATAAACATATAAAATAAAAACTGCTACTTCAAACAAACTGAAGTTTATAAAGTCTGATTTCTACCCTAAAATCTGTTCAAGAGTTCAAATAATGATCATAGACAACTGACACAAAATTGTTATGTGATGATGAAATATGCTTGAGCTTCACATCCTTTTTACTGTAGTTTTAGAGCACATTAGGAGAACTGAGAAGAAAATACAGAGTTGCCACACACTCTCACTAGTCAATCTTTAGTTTCTCCTCTCAGTAGCATCTTGCATTGGTATCTCATTTTGATTTCAATTGATAAGCCAGCATTAATACAGAAAAAGGTGGGGATAAATACTAACATTCCAGACCAGAGCATCTAGAGAGACAAAAGATGTCAAGTTAAATTTGAGAAAGTAAATCTAATGGTCATATGCCACCTTAAATATTACCAGTCTCATGTGATCTTGGAAGCCAAGCATGGTCTGGCCAAGTTTACCATGAGAGGGAAGAAAACAACCAAGACTGTGGGGTATAAAATTCACAGTTAAGTTAGGACTGTATCTAGAGTTTAAAAAAGGGGGTTGGCATCTAAATTTTTATTTCTTGAGATTATAATAATCTTTATCTGATGATTTGTTTTTCTCATTACAAAAAAAAAGAAAGAAAGAAAAGAAAAAAACCGAGTAAGACTTGGTTGCCAAACCTGCCATGTGATACCTCTCCTGCCTTTCTGAGAGTCACCATGGAGTGCTTTGTTTTGCTTTGCTCTGTTTATTAAATCTGGTCTCATTTTCAAAAATGTAAAGAAGAATGGAAAAGCAAGAAAATTACACATAGTTCGGAAATCTGTTTCCTATGCAAGAACCACTGGCCATGTTCTCATGAAGTGACCAAGATAACATCATCTTACTCTGACTCCATTTTGTGTCTGCTCAGGCAATTTTCTGTCCCTAATTCCCTGAACAGTCACATTAGCCCTGGCCACACATTAGGGACTTCCCAGAACCTTCACAGTAGCCTGGATGTATAACTAAAATACCTATTGGATACATAACCAAAACTGGCCTAACCCTGACAATGATGCCATTATGGGGTTTTACTTTTATAAACTCTGTACCCCTGAGCTTTGGGGCAAGAGTTCTTTATGGCAAGGGCTTGCTTTTCATTATCAGATACTAAAGGACTCCCGCTTGGCTTTACATGTGTAGTGATCTCTAATTTTCTTTCCTGGATTATAACACTCACACCTATTTTAAAGGAAAATTTTGTATTACACATGTGTAATAAATATATAAGAACAAATAAGTAAGTTTGCTTTAACTTTTTAAAAACCAACATGACATCCCACAAAAAGGAAGTGCTGTAATTTAGTATCTCCATTCCACACAGTTGGACATACAACTTATAATCTAATATACATTATCTCTTTGCATGTAGGATCAGCACTCAGGAGCAGAAATTCATGCTCAAAAATTTCCAGTGAGAGCTCCCATAGCTACTGGCCCATGGTGCCAGCATCTAGTGGCCTTGGGCTTTACTGTTTCCTGATACAGCTTAGGTCCTGCTCTCACATCTGCTGTGGCTCCTAAAGACTGAAGTGCCCCTGGGTGCCCTGGTGGGGAGTGAAACCCTGCTGAAGGTAAGAAGAAAGGAAAGCAATGCTGTTGGGAAGCTACCAAGGAGGCTGTGCTGAGGCTGTTACAGTGAGCCATGCAGGGCTTGTGGTCAACAACAGTCTGGGACCACAAGGATGCCTGTGTAACCTGAGCCAGCAGACCAGACTTTGTTCCCTTG